TTATCACAGCGGCTGGGGGCCTCCAGCAGGGGCTGGGGCCGCTTCCAGATTCAGGCCAAGGTGCGACACACAAGGCGCTTTCCAGGCCGCTCTCCAGCCTCTTGGAGGAAAGGCCTCCACCTGCAGGGCAGTTGGACAAACGACTGCACTGCCTCTCAGGATGCTCTGGAGTAAACTGATGTAATCGCAGGGACCCACAACTCCAGGAATTGCACCCTGACACCGGCAGCCCTGCTGGCCAACCGCAGGCCTCGGGAATCCTAGGACTACTTCTTAAAGCTTATTGAAGCAGCTCATATACCAGAAAGTGATGCTGTTACCTGCATATCTTGAAGTTTACCCGACGGCACCCACTCAGTCCCAACCGAAGTATCTCCTAGAAACCTTTATAATGGGAAACCAAACTTTCATAATGTTTGGCATCTAGATAGCCAACTTCGACGGGAAATGTCCTTTTGGAAAAGCTGTAAGGGAGATTATTAATGAAGGCAGCAGCCTGTGGCTCAGGTAGCACAGACTCCCTTGCAGTCAGCCTCTTGTAGTACTGTGGTCCACCTGCACTTGTAAGTTTTCAAGTTAGACCAGAGGGTAGTAATGGTTAGGTCTCTAGGACACTTTCCCTCAGGCTCAACAACTTACTGGAGGATCTGAAATTCTGGACAGCGTGAGCCACTACAGATCTATGTTCAGCAAAACCTGCTTTCCCTCAGCAAACAGAAAACAATGGGGTATGCCTACCCCGGGAAGCCAGGTACCAAAGGTTTTACGGATTGAGATATTAAATACATTTAACAATGTTTAGATGAGACATCAACACAAGACACATGCTGTGCTTACTCCGGAGCACAAAGATTTCTGTCAACAGAAAATACATAAAACACACATGTAATTGATGGAACACTACAGACATCCAGCATGAAACTAAAGGGCTCTTGGAGCCTCGGAAACCAGGACTGACAGTACTGAAGAAAGCGTGGAAAAGACCAACCACACTACGACGGCAGGGAACAACACTGGATGGAAGTTCCACACCCTCGTGTCTTCTTGTCACTTTATTACATACACCATAGAAAACCTACGTAAAATTGTTCCCAAGTAAAAGCTGGGAAATGACTTTTATGAAGTATCATCTGGTGAGACCCGCCCCCACCGGAAAAAAAAAAATCAGACAGACTAGAAGCTCCCACCTGTCAGGTCCCTGACAGCATCCAGCTGCTCTGGTTGAGGAGTGAAGGAACCCTGACAGCCCCTCACAGTCAAGTAGCCTTTAAATTGCTATGTTCCCATATCCCTGACACAGGTTATAGTATGACATTTGCGCATCCTTGGCCCCAGTGATACCACAACATAGCCAGAGATTTCTAACCTCCTATCAGTTCGTCCAGACAGCAGTTCTGGGAACACAATCCCCGCTACTGGAATCCTGTCAGCAGCCCTGGACAAAGCAGTGGATTTAGTCTTATCATTAGAAAGAGATAACACAATCTACTTCCCAGACCTGCAGGGAGAATTAACCTCCAACTTTAGGGACCTAGCACAGTATGGCTCAGAAAAGGAAGTGACAATTTCCATCCCTTAGGGGAAGAAAGGGATGGCTCTGGGCTTCTCTGGGTTGCAGCAACGGTAGAGAGAAGGGGTCCGAGGGTCGAAGATGAGGAGGACAGTGTTATGGTCTCCAGTCTTCTGACAGAACAAGGCCTGGTACAGAAGCATGATAAATGGTCTGACAACTATAAAGAAAAACAGGAAGGAAGTATCAACTATTAATTCAGCCACAACACAAGTCTTTGCAGTGAGATGCAACAGCTTTTTAAAAGCGTTTTTGCACATAAAGTGTTAGCATTTACTACCATGGAAGATAATCTTTTCAGAGTGCTAGCCTTAGCTCCATCTATAAATATTCCTCCCCTCCATCCAGTTTGAAAACATTCACTAGCCACTTTTTTATAAAGAAAAGGGAAATTAATCCTCATCAATCCCCACTAAAGCTAGAAGTCTTTTTATAAAACAAATCTAGATATGGGAAGCATTAAAAATCCCTGAAGTGTTGAGGAGAAAGAGTAAGTCTCAAGAGCCACAGGACTCGAGTATGCAGGGAGCTCAAACGGACCCACAGGCTATTTCTCATTACTGCACTCTCACACTGATAACTTGGCTTAACTGGACCTGGCTCCTGGTTTTGTCATCATCAAATCAAATACCTGTGACTTCCAAGAAGTCAGTCCCACTTTGAAAGGGTCAGGCTTACCGCAAAAAGAATGAGCAAAGAATGGGTTTTTTAAATATGGGGCTATTCCAGGACAGTCAGGACTACACAGAGACCCGGTCTCAAAGAAAAAAAAACATCAAAATAATAACAATATTAAAAAGTAGGACTATTAAAATGACAAATCCTCAGAAATCACAGCTGAGCCCTGTGACCAGCTTTGGCCACCGCACATTTTAAACCAGAAAACCAGATCACTACACTTTCTAGCAATGAGGTCAATGCCAGAAAAGTTTCCCATCACGCCTTCAACAGCATGCTTTATGCACATTCATGGAACATTCAGTATCATGTCCTTCTCAAAGGGTCCAACCTGCACCCTGGAGCTAGAAGGGTTAAAGGACAGTGACATTCAAGGGCCTATCAGCCAATCTCCTGGGAAACTAAGGCATGAGACATTCAGGCTCCAGGGAGCCATGTTGTTCAGTGAGGAATCACATCCTCACCTTGAGGAGGTATTGCATGGATAGTCTGTCACTCACCATTAAAGTATAAAGACACAGTGGCCAGTCCAACAAGGACCCCACCACAGGGCAGGAGGGTGCAGATCACTGTCAGAGGACATCAAATCCAACCCACAGGTGGCAGGCTTCAACATGGTTTGGAATGCATGTGGGTGTCACCCTGGCTCAGGTATTGCTCAGAAACCTCCGCAGACACCACTTTGCTTTTTGGGAACACCTTGGGAGTGCTGTGCTTTCCAAAGGATGGGAATCATATTTACTGCATGTCTGAGATGAGAATGTGCTGCCTGCTGGGTCCTGCCATTGTGGTATGTGGCCACACCACCTCGGGTGCTCATCAGGGTACTTCATTCTCAGTGCTGGAGCTTGAAGAGCCACAGGAATTTAACACCACCGTCTGAGATGTTCCCTCACCTGCCCATCCCACAGAACCACTCTCAGCCCATTTCAATGAAAGACTGTAATCTCACATTAAAATTATGATAAGCTGGTGAACAGGAAGATTTCCAGAAGAAAAAAAAAATCATCTTACTGTGTGCTACCATTAGGAAGTCTTTACCAAAGGCAAAAGAATTTGATCACCTTACATATAGGAATTTGCCCTAATTGGGGTATAACGGGTAGTATATAATTTGTGGATTATCTCCACACAGTAAAGAGTTTACTATTTCAAAACTATCAAAAATCAGCCTCATTGCTTAACAATAAAATACTCACTTCCAGCTCCACAGTTTGGGGCATCCTGAATTTCCAAAGATCATGAACACAAGGATCAAAGTTGCAAAGAACTTTCCAGTAAAACAACAGGTTTTAGAAACGATACAATAAATTACACTTTTTGAGGACATTCACAGGCTCAAATCTGTTTGTATCGGGCTGCAGCTCTTCTGACTGCCCAGCATGCACGAGTCCCAGGGTTCCTCCATCCCAGCACATCATCAGCCAGCAGCCCCGCCCTGGGAGGAATCCTAGCGCTCAGGAAGTGGGGGCGGGAGGAAGCAATCTGCTGCACTGCAGTTGGGAGACTACTCCGGGATGAAGAGGCGGTCTTGAAAAACAAAACAACTCTTTTCCAAGGGTGTTTTGTTAAGGCCTGGAGAAGCATAGGCTACTCACGTATTCAAAGGCCACGTGCTTTAAAAACAACAACAAAAACGTAAGCCTGAGTTTGGCTCGGTACTGTTTTTCTGGATTTTATTATCTCCCTTCACTGGAGAAACCTTTTAAAGTACTCTTTCTCACAAACGTCCACTTTCAGAAAATCACTCTGCAGTCACTAACTAGACAAAGTGGTCACTGGTAGCTAGCCAGCTGGTTAGTTCCGTGATTTGCCAGCATTCAGGTAAGTGCCAGGCCTGGGCAGGCCAAGTCCAACAAAGCCAGGGAGCTGCTCCTCCAGGCTGAGCCCAGGTAGACTACAGAGGTGAGCCCTCATTGGAGGTGCGGTCAGAAGCCGGATCGAGAAAGGCAACTTTCATATGAAACATCCCGGGACCCACGCGCAGAGGGATGGCCGATTCCTTCTCTTTTCAAAGGTGTTTTTAGTTCATTTTTCAAAATGCTTTGTTTACCACTACATATAGAGGTATGTGTCCGTTTAGGTTTCTTGTGGTTGTCGTTTTTATAGTTATTTTAAAGTAGAGGGGAAACCCTGTAACTGTAAACTAACAGAAATCACAAACCCACCTCTTAATGACCGTTGGGAGACTTCAGTAAAGTTTCAAAAACTAGTTGAGCCCATAATGCATAATGGGTTTGCGCTTTGCGTAAGACTTGCAATCTCAAAGTTGTTAACTTGGCCTAAAGATGTTACCATTTGCCCCAAGTGGTAAATTCCTTTAAAACTTTTATGAAAATTCTAGAACAAACACCACAGCAACTCCTTTTAAACTCCATTACCAAGATTGGAATAGTGAGTTTTTTTTAACTGCTTTTTTTCTTCATCTTCCTGATCTCTGTGCCAGTTCCGGCAAGGAAGGGGGATTGCACGCTGCCCTCCCGTGCGCCCCTCCCCCAGGTCTCCGAGCTCAGAGCCCCTTTGCTCCCAGCCCGCAGCTCCTGCACAGGCATCCCCACCTGAGCACTGGTGGCAGCGGCCAGGCCCTCAGACTCGGAGTGGCACGGTGGGCAGCCACACACACACCTGCAGTACCTAAGTTTCCAGTACCGTGCGCTCCGCGTGGACAGCCCCACGCCAGGAACCCGGGCAGGGCAAAGCTGGACGTGCAGAAAGCGGCCGAGGACGGGGGCTAGGGGTAGGGAACCCTCACCTGGGAGCGCGTAGCCAGCTCCATCTTCCCTGCCGGGCTCAGCCTGCGCCCTGCACGCGGCCACCCGGGCTGGCGCTGCCCCGAGCACGCAGCGCGCGCGGAGTTTGCCGTGGAGCGGCGCACTGACTACGGACGGGGGGACCGCGCCGCGCCTCGAGCTACGCGCAACCTCGCACGGCCTCGGGCCACGCGCCCGCACCCGGGCCTCGCCACCTGCGGTCCTTGCCTCGCGGCCGGCGCGGGAGCGCGCGAAGGGTGCGCGCAGCCGGCATTGGCCGGCGTGTGGGCGTGCCCGGGCTTCCCCCCACCGCGCAGGGCAGCGGTGGAGCGGTCCGCCCTGGTTCGCGCGGGAGACTCCAGCTGGGGCCGCACGCGCCTCTGAGCTCCGGGTACCCGGCCCGCTCAAGCCCTGCAGCACAAGCCTCTAGGGCCTTAGGGCCTGAGTTCCCGGAGGGTTTGGCGGAGCCTGCCGAGTTGGCTTTGCTTTGTTGTTGGAAAGGGGCGGGGTCTCTGCGCCTCTTCCAAAACGTTGGCTGCCCAGTTCACAGTGGAACCGATCACCCAAGTTTGCTGACCCTGGGCGGAGGCGATGGTCACAATGCACACTACGCACTGAACGTTAGGCCCCATTCTGCTAGCCAGAGCTTTCCAGTAGTGACTAGCATCTGCTCACCGTGGAAACGCTGAGATAGGCCTGAGGACTCAGGAATGAAGATAAGTCCAGTGCCCACTAGGTTGGACTTTATGAGCTGGGAGCCATTACCCACCTACAGGATAACATGAATAACTATACTGATAATGCAAGTGTCATGGTGATAATTATGTCATTTTATCACTTAATTTGACGGATAATTGAGATAATTAGTAGTCTAATTCCTACCACTGATTAATAGTGATAAATGTAATAATGAAAGTGCATGGACAGGTAAATTTGGAACAAGTTAGATGCCATGAGGGGGGGAAAAAGTGGTAGCCTAGTGGTACAGAATGGGCAGGGGGCTGGGAAGACTTACAGCCAGTCAGAAGCAGGAGGCGGTTAATGAGTGGAGACAGTGGGGGGCAGGAAGCAAGCCTGAGAAGCAGAAAAATGCAGTCTCTAAAGCTTTGGCATGGGGTGGGGTCATAAGGTGGTAGAGCAGCAACTTGCCTGGTAGAATCTATGTACCGATGGGGTGGGTAGGTGTGAGTGATGGGTTTGAGCATGGCCCTGCAAGAGTGAGGAGAGAACTCTTCCCAATGATAACAGACTACATGCTGCAACTCGGGAAAAGGAGAGGCAATGTTCACAAGCAAATCCCTTTAAGAAGTCGAACATTATGGGAGTAACCAACCACTTTATGAGCGATTTAGGTCCTCAAGATGAAACCCATACCTGGTGCCATGCTGGGCCAAGAGCATGTGGCTGGACAGGCCATAGACCCTAAGGAGGAACCTACTGTTATTTTGTTTTTGTTGTTGTTGTTGTTGTTGTTTTTTGCGACAGGGTTTCTCTGTGTAGTTTTGGTGCCTGTCCTGGATCTCTCACTGTAGACCAGGCTGGCCTCGAACTCACAGAGATCTGCCTGACTCTGCCTCCCGAGTGCTGGGATTAAAGCCGTGTGCCACCCACCCCGCTGGAACCTACTGTTATTATTCTGCTAATGGATATAGTATTAAACAGAATCCGAGTAACTTATTGTTATACTCATGGATAATGCATCTCTCAACCCGTATCCAAGAAACTTTTGTTTGCAGTAAATGGTGATTGACAGAGACCCACAACTGGACAAGGTGCAGCGAATAAGAGACTGTAGAGTATCCCACCCTAAATGAGACATCTGTGTCACACTACTCCTCCTAAGGCTCGGGAGTCATTGCAGAAGATCAGGGAGAAAGATTATAGAAACCAGAGACTGTGGATGACTTCAAGGACACAGCATCCTCCAGACACAACAGGGCAGCTGCACATATAAATTCAGAGTAGATGTGACAACATACTCAAGCCTGTGCAAGCTCAGGCCAAACCAAATCCCAGCATGATGAAGGCAGGTGGTCAGGAAGGCCCACCCGCTAGCTGAGGCGCTATTAGCAATTGAAAGCTGCCTGGAGATGGAGAGTCAGTTTTAAGAGCTTTGTCGCTGGTGGTTTGACTTGTACCAGTAGAATGCCACAGGTCTGTGATTATTTGAGCAGCACAAATTGGAAAAAGAGAGGGAGAAAGAACACAAAGCTGTGTGGGTAGGGGAGTGGCAAGGGAGTGTGGGAAGAAGTGAGGGAGGGGTGAATATGGTCAAAATACAGTATACAAAATTCTCAAAGAATAAGAATCTTCTTAGAAAGTCTCTGGATAGAAGTCTGTGGTTGATTGCTTCAAAATGTTTCTTTAAAGGACTGGACAGATCACCCAGCACTTACGAGCACAGCTGCTCTTCAGAGGACCCAGGTTTGATTCCCAGCGTCCACATGGTGGCTCACAGCCATCTCTAACTCCAGTTTTAAAGTGTTTGTCTTAGCCACTGTTCTGTTGCTGTGAAGAGACACCATGGCCAAGATCACTGTAACAGAAAGCACTTAACTGGGGACTTGCTTACAGTCTCAGAAGTTTAATCCATTATCATCATGGCAGGGAGCATGGTACCATGCAGGCAGGTGCTAGAGCAGTAGTGTTGATCCAAAGGTAGAGACAGATGGACAGACAGACTGACTCTGGGCTTGTCATGGGCTTCTGAAACCTCACCCCCAGTGACACACTTCCTCCAACAAGGTCACACTTCCTAGTCCTGATAATCCTTTCAAATAGTGCCATTGCCTGGCAAGGTCTTTTAAAGAGAGAGTAACATAATGTAAAATGAAAAAGCCACATAAAGATGGGAAATACACAGGGCATCTGGATCCTGTATGGTGCTTTGTTGACTTTGAATTTTTTAAATGCTAATGAACAAAAATCAATAGCTGCAGAGAGACACTGGATTATAGAAACTGCTAAATTGAACCAACCTATATATTTTTAGAACGTTTTTCACTTCAGAATGAAAGTCAAAATATATGTTGTGTTGCGAGACAGGTTATGCCCTTGTTTCCACAAGAAACAAAAAGTTATGGTTTTCTTCAAAATTGATAAAGATAAAATTTGATTGGGGGAGACCTCCTGAAGAACTTGGCTACAGACATCAAGAGAGAAACCGAGAAAGTCTACAGGACAGGTGGCACGTATGCTGATCCCTCTACTATGGCAACAGCTCTGAGAATAGATGAGACATGACAAATCTTGTTGGTTACAGAGTCCTCATGACTTATTATATTACACTTTAGATATGTAGTCCAAACAGACTTATAAAGTTGACAGGTGCCTTTCACCTACTCAAACGTGAAATAAAAATTATGTATAGCTGACTTGTGTACACTGCACATTCCGTACGTACTTGTGTTAATACAGATATGTATGTTACCTTTAAAAGTTTGTGTGTCTTCAGAGCAAGGGGACCAGACATCAATGAAAACGGTTGGCCCAGGTGATCCAGTCTCTCAGTGGCTCTGTTGCAGTTTCCTCAGAGTTCTGCATCCAGAACAGCTTCAACACTGCTGGCTGGAATAGTCCAGCCTCACAGACTATTCTAGCCTGGACTAGAGAAAAGCCTTGTGCCCATTGCACAGAGACTGGACAACACATAATACAGCTAACTCTCCCAGAACTTAACCTTTATCCTAATTTTCTCAGGTCCCCCAAAGATGCTATCACCCCCAGACAACAGGAGCAATCTAGAGAATACAATGCCCACATTCCCAAGAGGTGGGATGGGTGGTTTTGGTCATTCAATGGGTTATTGATGTTTGTCATCATTTGGGGGGGTTGGTTACTAATTGTTATTGGTCATGGTCAGGAAGAAAGCTGAACAAAGGAGATTAGATTCAGGGACTTGTTCTGATGGGGAAAGGGGTATAGTATAGATAGGATGGGATAAAAGAATGGATTGTTGAGTCTACTTTTGAACAACCAACAGTCTCAAGTATTTTACATTGGTATGGATTTTTGTATGTTAATACAAATTTAAGGCTATTTTTGTTATACTGTATATATGTTTTCTATTCTTATTTAAGGTATTGTACCTATATAGCTCATTTTAAAATGTAATGTTTGGTCCTTGAAAGCTATTTAGGATAATAAAGAAATGCAAAAGCCGAGAGTGGTGGCGCATGCCTTTAATCCCAGCACTTGGGAGGCAGAGCCAGGCGGATCTCTGTGAGTTCGAGGCCAGCCTGGGCTACCAAGTGAGTTCCAGGAAAGGCACAAATCTACACAGAGAAAGCCTGTCTCGAAAAAACCAAAAAAAAAAAAAAAAAAAAAAGAAATGCAGATTATTACTTAGTCATCTACAACAATCAAACTTATAGTCATGTTATTTTTCAAGATCGTACAGAGATATATTTTAGATAGATGATCCTCAAACACTTCAAAGACCTTCAGAATATGGCAATGAAAATTTTTTAATAACATAAGACTTTTCATGACAGTGAGACACATCTGCTCCTAACAGCACAAATCTACTTCAAAAGAGGATGATGGGCATCAAAGCACCCCCATACTGAGCTTGCTTTCAGTGTGGCAAAGCTAGTCATCTGGGCAAGAAACTGCCCTTGCCTTGCCTGGTAACAGTATACTGTCCAGCTGGAAGTGACTGCTGAACTTTGCCAAGACAGGGCAGGGCAGTCCTTCAAAATCACAGTCCTTCTACTTCACAGAAAAGCCTGTCAGATTTTCTAGATCTACAGGCCAAATATGGATGCCCCAACGTTGTAGAGGAACCTTGGGTGGCTGTCCAGGCAGCCATATGTCTCTGTCATTTCTATAGTTTTGGAAGTTGCTTGCTCTGCACTTCCTGTTTAATCAGGTAATATCCTACTTGGGTCTCTGATGGGGGCTGAAGACTAGATAGTAATAGTTATACAGTTTTTCTTATTACCAAATTCAGAAAAGAAACTTACAAAAGAGATGTAAAGTTTATAAGGTTGAGAAACATAAAAGCTTAAGTTTTTTATTGAAGAAATTGCATTAAGGTCTAAAAAGATATTTTTAGGTTGGTAACACAAGTTAAGATAGAAAGTGATTTAGGTACAAAATTTTGAACTCACCAAGATAGGATAGATAATAGAGTACTTTCTCCAGAGTTGCCAAAT